GCCTAGGGGGGGATTTTATAGGGATTTTAAAGGGATTTTATAATTTTTCTAATACAGGTTAATTAATATATATTTTAATTTGGCTTTTAAATATTTATTGTATAGCTCTGTTTTTATTTACCTGTAAGCCGCCCTGAGTCCCTCGGGAGAAGGGCGGGGTATAAATTAAAGTAATAAATAAATAAATAAATAAATAAATTATGGAACTAGATCTGTCTGTTCAAAATATGGTCAGGCTAGTTAAAAATAACTTTTGTACAAAATTCTAATTCAGTTTCTCAACCATTTCTGTCTTATCACTAAGTTAAAATTAACATTACTCTTCCACATAAAATGTTTGGACTTAATATTTTAATATATATTAGATATTCAATAATGTCAGGATCTTTTTAATGTATTTAGTCAGTGGCACCTCTCAGTTTTCTGATGTTCTGTCTCTGGAATAAAAACAATATGCCCTTTAATAGAAGGAGAGAATAGTGCATTTTATTAATTACTACCGAAAACAGTAGGCATTGATTAAGGTATAATGACCCATTGATTTTGATGGAGATTTAAGAATGTATTTCACTGAAATCAGTGGGTCTTAAACATTTCTAACTTTGATTCCCCATAATGTACTGTGTATAGCAAGGATTACAAATCACAGTTCTTCACCAGTATACTGAAGTGAGAGCCAAATTGTATTATCCATGGAATATCCATAGTTTAAACTTTTGATCCTGGACTTTTTGTCGGAAAATAAATAATAATGCGTGTTCACAAATTAGCTGTTTCAGGAGCAAAATGGCAGCCAACGCACAGGAATATAATATAATACCAGTAAAGGATGAAATGCCTCAATGCTACTTTTTGTATCAAAATAGTATCTTGGGATACAGCAAGTCTTCTGTTTTAGTGAAAATGTTGGACTAAAGTGTAAGTCAGTTGAAAGCAATGGTTCAGTATTTTTCAGAACCGAACTGGAAAATTTTCTCTAGTACCAAAACGTTTTAATTTTTGAAAATGAATATAATACATACAGTATCTCTTTTTTTCTTCCATGCATTTTTCCTATGAGTACAGGGCCCACTTTTTTGGGATTAATCAAATTTTGATCCATTCGTTGAGACAGGTGTTGCCTGCTACACTTGTCACCTGCGCTTGATACTGTGGGCGGAGTAAAGTGAGTGGCGCAAAGTCATCTGGTACTCACGTCTAAGGCAGGACTATAACTTACAATCTCCTGGTTTCTAGCCTGGTGCCTAAGGCTCTTAAACCAAACTGGCTCTCTAGGGCAATGCATGACACCATTGCATAATTTTCCCAGGGATGATCTTATTTATCTCATTTGTTGACTGCCAAAATATAAGTTAGTTATGTGAAATGCAGATTACTTGACTTGTGAGTCTTTTTGTGACACAATTAGGGTGTCTATTTCTAAATAATTTGAACTTGTGAGATATTGCATTACCTAAGGGAATGCAAGGGATATTGCATTACCTAAGGGAATGTTTGCAGATCCACAGAGCAAATTTGTGACATATTTGAAACAACAGAAGTTTAAATAATTTGTTTTTGTAATTATTCTAGGTTTTGTATTCCTATTCAATAGGTTTCCTGTACATTTTATTGGGACTGACATGCACTGCTGGCCTAACTCCTGCAGTAACATTTTGTTCAAAGGTAAATGTGTTGATTCTATTACAATTTTCATTATTTTAAAATGTAAACTTTGCATTTATGTGCTGTTGGGGTACTTGTTGGATGAACTGTTTAATATTTTTTTCTATTTGTGCTGTTTATAAATATAAAATAAGAAAAATAAATTGTATTATTCATTAAGGCTGAAAGATAGTCCCCTTCAACCGAACTGGGAATTATTTCTCAGTAGATACATTTAGCATTGTACAGTAATACAACAAAGCTTGAAAACGCTTATATGTAATCACCCTCATCAGAATTACTTTGTATTCTTTGAAATGTCAAGGAATGTTTATAATTTAATTATTGCTTTATCCATTATTCATCAAAAATTAAATACAAACTTTGAAAGCTTTAAGCACTTTTACTTTAGTTCAGGCAGCATATTAAAGACATTTATTTCATTTTGCAATACCTCAGGGTTTGTTTAGCATTTTACTAATAATGTTGTTATTGTTCTTGCAGCGCCCAGTTCAAACATACGGCTATGCATTCTTATTCTCCTTGACTGGCTATTTTGGAATCTCTTTTGTCCTGGCTTTGATTAAAATCTTTGGGGCTCTTTTAGCTGTAACAGGTATTATTGAGTTTATACATTTACAGGAGAATTGAATCAGATGCCATGTTTGGATAAAATTTGTAAACTGTGTAATTTCTAGATGTTTGAAGTAGGTTGATGAAGGTCTTCTACTACAACTACAAAGCGCTCGATGTTTGCTCTGATGCCTATTCATTTATTCTGGATTTTTTTTGTTTAAATTCAGGTGGTGAGAGTGCAAATTAAAAAGCATGTAATGTTTTCATTTTGATATAGATATTATTGGAAAGAAATTGGCGTAAATTCAAATTCATATAAGAGGTTCATGAAATTCCATAATGAGCTATGGAAAAGAATAATCATTAATATATATAAATTATGCATTTAGCTGTTTAGAAATATGTTTTTATCCGACTTTTTTTTTAAAAAAATCTTTAATAGGGTTACAATGAAAACTGACCCAGAAATCTTCCAAGGGGGTTAAAACAGGTGATATTCACCACAAAAAAAAAATATTCTCAATCAATTGTAAAATAATTCAGCTGAAAAACCAAACATAGTCATTAAAATTCAAAAGACAAGAACAAAAAGCTGTAGAAAGAGCTTGACATTCTCCAGCCTTGTCCAAAGGTGTTGACTAACTTCAACCTTACACTTGCTTCCATATTTGGATTTAAGTGACAACTGAGGTGATGCTATGTATTACTGCTTCTTTTGTTTAGCATAGACCAGGGATAGTCAACCTTGGCTCTTTTATGACTCGTGGACTTCAACTTCCTTTATTGGCATGCCAATTATACATACATTTTGGGTACGTAAGGAAGCACCAGATGAAGTGGCATACAGGAAAAAAAAATTGAGAGAAGGCCTAGGACAGGGGTAGGCAACCTTGGCTCTTTTATGACTTCTGGACTTCAACTCCCAGAATTCCTGAGCCAGCCATGCTGAGGGGAAAGGGAGAGTTTCCAAGCTGAGCCATGCTGGCTTAGGAATTCTGGAAGTTGAAGTCCATGAGTCATAAAAGAGCCAAGGCTGCCTACCCCTGGCATTGACTGTCTCAATAGCTGCAAACTAAGTCTCAACTTGACTGGTAATAGCCATTGAAATGGCACCCAAAATAAGGCTGCCCGGTTGTCAACCAAATTTGCCAGAAGGTGAATGTAATTAAACCACTTTTCCTCTTTGTATCTCCATTTTTCACTCTTAAAATTACCATGACCATAAAGAAGCCCTTTGGGGTGGTGGTGATGGGGGCAGATAAGTTCTGTTACTGCTGCCTAATATTTCATAGGAAGGCATTGTGGCAGAATAAGATCACAAGAGTGTTGAAGGGTTGATAAGAGGTCCTACAACTACGAAATTGTACTGAATCAGACAGCTGACAAGCTTTCGTAGCAACATAATTGGCTGATATTGTGCCTACAGGGGAATTCCACTATAAATGCTCTGTGATATTTGACTATTCTAATACCTAAAGAGGTTGCCATAAGCTAATAACTACTGTAACTAGTATACCGCAGTATGTGTTAGATAGCCTTAATCACCTATCTTCTACCAATTAATGAAATTGCTTGTCACCATTAATAAGTTTCATTCTGAGATGAAAGCTTTCTCTTTAATAACCAGTTATAATCACTTACTTTTAAGACACTGCCTTTCAATATCTTTAATTACTTTACATTCCCATTCCTTGATCTAACTTCTAACTGTTTTAAGCTTGAACACTACAGCAATTTTCAGTAAGAATGTTGGTTGGACAGACTGGTTGGAGCCTGTGGCAATTGAAATCAAGCAATGCAAGATTGAAGAAGCTTCATATTTATATTTTCTACAGCATTCTTTAAGAAGTTGTATTTTAATTGGATTGGAATGAATATATAAAGTCCTTCTGTGTTTTTCTTTCCTTCAGTTACAACTGGAAGAAAAGCAATGACAATTGTCCTTTCTTTTTTGTTTTTTGCAAAGCCATTCACATTCCAGTAAGTATTTCTCCTGTATCACATTTTTGTTTAAAATTTAAACAATGTTTTATTCAAATATGTTCACAAAAACCATACAGTTAAATAATACAATGAGAGATTTGCACTAGATCAGTGGTTCTCAACCTTTTTAATGCCGCGACCCCAACCGGTCGTAAGTCGAGGACTAAACCGGTTGTAAGTCGAGGACTAAACCGGTCGTAAGTCGAGGACTTTCCCTGCCCGGGAGCGCCGCACATGCGTGGTTCCGCCCCCTGCGCCAGCCGAGGCGTAGCTGGCAAGCGGCAGAGACGGAGCAGGCCGACCACCAGCTGGCCCAGCCCAAGGGAGGTAAGGCACCCGCCGGAAAAGGGGGAAAAAATGGACAAAAAAAATGGCGGACAGCCTTGCTTGGCGACCCCCGTGAAATGGTCGATCGACCCCAAATGGGGTCCCGACCCACAGGTTGAGAACCACTGCACTAGATCATACTGAACATATGCACACAGAGACGTTTACCTGTCTTCATACATTTGCTAAGAAATCAAGTAGAAATAGAAAATATTGAAAAAAAACAGACGGGCAACTGAGCAAACGGCTGTAGACATTTCTGCTGAAAAGCATAGAAGTGAAGATTGTTTAATGAAAGAGTAGCCTGGTAGGGGCTCCTTGTCTAATGAACATCAACCCTTTTTTAGAACACCTAAACAAGACGTCTCTCTTTTTTCTTTCTCTCCATTTAGTTTTATTTTACTCGCATTCCACTCCCATTTCCATCCCCAGCATGCTTCTTCCTCTTTATTGCTGCCCCTAGTGCAGTGGTTCTCAACCTGTGGGTCGGGACCCCATTTGGGGTCGATCGACCATTTCACGGGGGTCACCAAGCAAGGCTGTCCGCCATTTTTTTTGTCCGCCATTTTTTCCCCCTTTTCCGGCGGGTGCCTTACCTCCCTTGGGCTGGGCCAGCTGGTGGTCGGCCTGCTCCGTCTCTGCCGCTTGCCAGTTACGCCTCAGCCGGCGCAGGGGGAGGAACCACGCATGCACGGCGCTCCCGGGCAGGGAAAGTCCTCGACTTACGACCGGTTGGGTAGTCCTCGACTTACGACCGGTTTAGTCCTCGACTTACGACCGGTTTAGTCCTCGACTTACGACCGGTTTAGTCCTCGACTTACGACCAGTTGGGGTCGCGGCATTAAAAAGGTTGAGAACCACTGCCCTAGTGAAACAAAGGAAAAGAATGTATGGTATACCTTTATTTGTGCATGTGGGGATGGGCTTGTGTTTGTGTGAGAGAAGAATATTTGATAGATGCAGATTAAAGATTAATCAGCTTTTAAAATTTAAATCAGTAAGTATTGATTCAGTTGATTCTAATTTATTTTCGTGGGTTTTCCGTTTTCAGAGTTTACATTGAGTCATGCATTTGTTAGGTGAAAGGAATCTCCAGGATTGATTTAGGCTAGAATTAGTAAGCCATAGTAGGTCAGGTGAGGAAGGTGGTTTGTGTTTATCTGTTGTTGTTTTTTTCTGTCTGTTTTTACCTTGTGGTTGGAATAGCTACATCCAATTTTGGGTGGTCTTCCTTGAGGTGAATGCCGTATGTCTCTCTTTTCTTTACATGAGGATGCACTTGTAAGTTCATCCATTGGTAAATATCCATTATTACACTCGAGACCTTTATCCTGGTGATGTTAGAATTATTTAACGGAATAATATGGATAAGGTTTAGTTAGATCTTCTGACAGTCATTCTCAAACTATGGCCAACAACAAGTATCTAATACTACATCTTCATTGTTATCATCATCAGACCTGCTTCTTTAATCAGTCGCAGTGAACAGGAAGTAATTCTGCAGCTTGTCATAAATATGAGTCAGTTGCAGAGTCTGGATTTTGATCACGTGACCATGGGGATGCAACTGTGTGAAATGCTCATAAGTCACTTTTTTCAGTGCCATTGTAACTTTGAACGGTCACTAAATGAACTGTTGTAATTCGAGGACTATCTGTATGTTCTATAACTCACTTCACTTCTATGGTGGCTGTTTTGCATTCTGTATGAATCTTAATGTGTTGGATTGTTACACATGCAGTTGCTAATGTGACTCTTTTTCTTTCATTCACCCCTTTTAGGTATGTGTGGTCAGGTTTATTAGTTATCCTTGGCATATTTCTCAATGTTTACAGCAAGAATATGGATAAAATCAGATTGCCTTCACTGTGCCGTCCCTGGAATAAATCTCTGGAAGACAGAAAGACAAGGACGTTATCCCAAACAGTATAAAACTGGCCTGTGCCCTGTGTTGCACTAGACTGTTTGCTTCTGTTCTTTCACTGCAATAGTCTCCAGCTGAATCATTTTCCAAAGGGAATGATGTTAAAACCAAAGGAATTGAAGGCGCTTTTGTCTACAGAACTTTCTTTGAGCACTTGGACTCCCTTCTTGGAAGGGATGGTTGAAGGATGTCATTGGACAAGGAGCGTGGAAAAATAATAATTCTTGGGAAAGCTGCTATTGAAATTGCCTCTCTAAATGGAGCATTTGGGAGACCGAATAATGTGATTAATCTGGGCATTTTAATTGTGCAAAAGGTGCTTTGGCAGTGGCTGAAATCAGTGGGCCTTGTTTTACTGTTGAAATGTTTATTTAAATGTAATTTTGCATTGAAACTTAATTGAAGCAAATCAAACTTGATTGATAAAAGTGAAAAGTTTAAACCTTCAAGGTTGAGATCATTATGCCATTTTTTTTTCTTTTTAAATAATAAAATCTATCCCAGATTGTTTTTAACCTTTGTTCTCATTGTTTTAGCACTGTGGATTTCTTCTGAGAAAAACTAGAACTCCTAAACCAAGAGTCCCCAATCCCTGGGCCATGGCCTCTTTGGAATCGGGCCGTACAAGTAGCAGGCCAGCCCACATATGCGCACGCAGCTTGACTCGCACGAGCAGTAGGCTGGCATTCACGCATATGTACAGGCGTGTGCAACTCAACTTGCGCAAGTTGAGCTGTGCCCACATACGTCTGCACACTGGCCCACCGCTCGCGCAAGTCGAATTACACATGCACTTGACCTAGTTCCCCTCCCAGCTGGGCTGCCAAGCTGCAAAGGTTGGGGACCACTGTCCTAAACCATAAGGGCTTTTTGAGAAGAGAACAGTCTGCTATCTATGCATTTTCTATCATATAACTGATTCTTTTATGAAATTATCTTTTTACTAATGTTACAAGTAGGTCTGCACAAACGTTCTGAGTTCAAAATGGTCATTTGAGTGTTCCAAGCTTGAAATAAAACTGAAGCATGCTGAGACTTCTCTTTCAAGATTAAGACAGTGCAAATTGGTCCAGCCTCAAAAACAAAAACTTGGCTATTTTGAAGTGTCATGTGATGAATATTCTGATCACAAAATATAACCTTGAACAAACCTTATAACAAATTGTTCCGACTTCAAAATAGACAATTTCGAATATTCTGAGCTCAAAGCAAAATTTAAATATTTCAGTTTTGTTCTGATGGAACATTGTAATGGAATGTTTTAAGGAGGATCATTTAGTTCTGAGCTTGAAAAAAAATGCATTTCTCATTTTATTCATATCCCCCTTATAAAAGTATTCAGAAAGGTTTGATTAGCCAACGAACTTACATCATTCCACAAAATACTGTTTCTTGTTACTTCTGCACATTGAAATGAAAGAAGAGAAGGCTGGGAAAATAGCTAGGGAGTAGCAGATGAATTATTTTGTACCTTTTTTGATATTGTAATTAAGTTATAAATTTAATCATTCTGTGAAGTTTTCTGTAGCATGTGTTTTTTTTAAAAGCAAATGCTAAAATACTGTGCCACTCTAATTTTATAGCTAAATAAATTATGCACATGAGCGTATACTTGCATATTTTACCTACATTATTTTGTTTTTGTAATAATCATGAAGATCCAGAACATTTGTGCAGGATAATAAAAGTCCACCCTTGCAATGGAATTAGTCTGTTTGAACAGATCATCAGAAGATCTCAAGCAAAATCTTTTATCCTAAGCAGCTGAATATTCCATTTCGGGAACAAAGCATACATTTTGAAGAATATAATATTGTACTTCCTATCAGGTGTTCCTAGGTTTTGTATGAGATAGCAATAGCAATAACACTTTGACTTATGTACAGCTTCACAGTGCTTTACAGCCCTCTCTAAAGATTTACAGAGTCAGCATATTGGTCCCCAACAATCTGGGTTCTCATTTTACCGACCTTGGAAGGATGGAAGACTGAGTCAACCTTGAGCTGGCGAGGATCGAACTCCTGGCAGTCAGCAGAATTAGTGTGCAGTACAGAGAAGAGCAACAAAGATGATTAGGGGACTGGAGGCTAAAACATATAAGGAACGGTTGCTGGAATTGGGTATGTCTAGTTTAATGAAGAGAAGGACGAGGAGTGACATGATAGCAATGTTCCAATATCTTGGGCTGCCACAAAGAAGAGGGAGTCAAGCTATTCTCCAAAGCACCTAAAGGTGGAACAAGAAGCAACGGATGGAAACTAACCAAAGAGAGAAGCAACCTAGAACTAAGGAGAAATTTCCTGACAGAACAATTAATCAGTGGAACAACCTGCCTCCAGAAGCTGTGAATGCTCCAACAATGGAAGTTTTTAAGAAGAGACTGGACAGCCATTTGTCTGAAATGGTATACGGTTTCCTGCCTGAGCAAGGGGTTGGACTAGATGACCTCCAAGATCCCTTCCAACTTTATTATTATTACTGCATTCTAACCATTATGACACCACAGAGATGTAGTTCGTAGCATTTCATCATAATTTGACAAAGGGTTGCTTTATTTTACACAGAGATACGAAAAAGATCAGTTTAATTTTTTTTTCTTTGGCTAACCAACTGTTCTTATGCATTTCACATACAACGAATGTTAATCATTTTTGGTTGGCAGCCCGCTCAGCATCCATTTTACATTTCAAAAGCCGAATGAAAGCAACTTATATTTTCTACACTTTCATTAAAAAAAGATAAAAAAAGTATTGGCATCAAACTTAATTTCCCAGTTTCTTGGCTGAAATCATGATAAAAGAGCTCACTCTGGGAAAATGAAATCTATAGCATAGCACTGGCTTATTTAAACTTCTCAGCTGTCCTACTCTGAAAAGCTGAAGAAGAGATTAGAAAAAACACTTGAGTCAAAAGGTATTAATTAAAAAACATTTTGTCCTCTTTTTAATCTTTTTTTTTTCTTTTAAGCATAGGGTATTTTGCGCCTCACACTCCCTTTGCCCAGTTCATCTGGTTTGGCTGGCCTCTGCTTTTTCCTGAGCCTTGTGCAATAAATAATGGGAGATGTCTAAAGCTCATCACAACTGCAAATGGGGTGGTGTAGAACCTTCATCCTCTCAAAATTGCCACAGCAGGAATAGTTGGCAGCTCATCTATTACATCCATTACTCCAACACAACCCTTCCCTATTTGTCCTTGGCTATTGTAAGGCAGGCTGCTAAGGCAGAGATCCTTGACAAAGCCTTAGTCTTATTTGTATTTTATAAGGGTTTTTTTTCCTCCAAGGAGCAAAACAGTCTTATGTATGCAACACATATAGCCCATAATTTGCCACTATTTGTGCTTGTTCCAGGGACTGCGGCCATTCCCGGATGTCTGCCTTCCTCATCCCTACTCCCCAAGTCTAGAATATACCAGTCAAAAGTGCAGGTGTTGCATTGTTCTATTTTCACAAAAGGCCGTGAATGGCAGCCAAGATCACAAGATGCACTGCTTCCTTTACATCCATCCTTCTTGTAATTGCCGAGCCCAAATAGCAAATCTTACCATTTTCATTATAGCTGAAATGATTTTGAAGCATTATTAAAATCATAAATAACACACTGTTATAATTTAGTTGCGTGAAATAGAAGGATATATTTCTTGGACATGTGTAACAATACATGTATTGCCATACTATACACCACTATTTTCATTGAATTACTAGCGGTCTATGAACATTTCTGTAATTTTCCCAAACTTTAGAATCCTACCCAAGTTCCAATTTGAGTACAATTGCTACTTGGGCCAATTGCTCTGTCCTAACAAAACACTAAGCATCCTGATCAAGGCCACCTTTTCTTGGCATAGTCTCCCCAGATACTTGTCAGATTATTTGTTCACAACCAACAGAGTTGTAGACCAATGCCAGACTGAAGAAGACATGTATAGGCAGTTGAACAACATGTACTTGAAGAGAGCTCAGAAATTGAAAACCTGACCACATTTTTTAAAATCCAGAGCAAATTCAAAATATATACACCATCCTTACCTCAGCGTTGTATCATTCTACATAATGAATCTGTTAATTTGCACTACATTACGAGTAAATCATCATAAAATAAATATTCCAAATCTTTGAATTATTTTTGAAGCTTCCATTTTGAGGGGGGGGAAGATATTAGGTATGAAACAGATCATAATACTGATATCATTTACCTTCTAGCAAAAATCAGAATTGACTGACTGGATATACTTGGCAATGAAATAGGCTCTTTTACATGCCACAAGGTTACAGCTGCTCTTGTACTAAACAGATTCTAAAACAAGGAAATGCAAAAATGCACAATAAAAAATATTCATGCAACTAAATTGCAGCATAACCTTTGTGAGCGGCACTTCACTTCATCAGATGTATAGAGTGCCTTATGCCTTCAATAAAATTTGTTAGTAAAAAAAAAAAAGGTTGCTACCAGATTCCTTCTGATTTTTGGCCAGCATAGACTAACATGGATTTCCTACAAAAATTTCAAGCAAATAAAGTAGAATGTGAATTTTATACATTTCAACCACAGACTCAGGCTGTTATAAAATTCTCCATCTCTCCTTCCTATTTTGATAGAAACACAGGTGTGAGAGAGCGGCTTGGTGGCCTAGCAGTGAAAATGCTCACCTCCCACTCAGAAGGTTGAGAGTTCAATGCTAGGTAGTAACAGATTTTTCTCTCCAAGGGCACAAAAATATCTGCTGCATCCAGCCCATAAATGCTCCATCCAATCGCCCCAATTCTGCCCCAAATTAAGTACAGGGTCGTAAAAAGGGAGAGAGGTTTTTTTATTTTATTTTACACAGGTGTGTCCAGCTGAACAGCTCAGATTCTTCCTTTTGTTTAATATTTGATGGAATCATCAAGACATTTTGACCGAAAAACCAGTGTCATATTTTCCTGTCAACTACAAAAGGGACTGTATTTTAAATGTGGGCATTTGCTAAAACATGCTTCCAAGTGTTGAAGCAGTATGTAGGTGCTTTAGATATTAATCAACCACCCCAATGAGAATAAATTGAAACTACACAAAATAATTTCTAGGTGGCGTGTGCCCTTAAATTTCATGGTTTAGCAAGTGATCTGGAAAGCAAAACGGGCTGTTTTTCATGCTTGCGCGGTAGAGATTCGCCATCTCTTTCAGGTCCGTCTCCTTGTCAAGCACGCAGACAAAAGGAGGAGGAGGAGGAGGAGGAGGGGAAAAAGAGAGAATGACTTCCATGCACTCCATTCATGTCAGTACCCAACAACTTTAACAGCACAAATATTCTGCAGTCAGTCATGAAAAGAAATTTTTAATAATAAATATCTAACAATTAATGGGCTGGTAGCTGCAGTTGTCTTGAGGGCATAATATCTAATTTCCTTGCAGTGTCTCAATATCCTTACTTTTCACGCTGCAACAGTCTATCATTAAAACCGAATGCAGGTTTCTATCACTTTTATTTATTTTTCAAATCAACTTATAAATCAGTGCCAGGCCTTGTTACAGATGAGTTCCAATAAATTATCGGCTGTGGACAAATTCTGAATGTTAAACACTCCGTTCTCTCTCCTCACTCCTACCCC